TTTCCAAGTAAGTCATGACCATTGGAATTTTTTTTTTTTTAGAAATATAGGGTTTGGATTTTGGATTTGGGAAGAGTAATTATCTAATAAAGAGTAATTATCTATAGGATTGACATATATTAGACGTTTTCTTTTTAAAATAAAATTATAATTATTTTAAATTTAGTTTATTCTTTATATTTATTTATTATCATTATTGTTTTATTGCTTTTAACTATTTTATTTAATTTGAAATATTTATTATTTTATGGTATTATTATATTATGTCTCTTAATAAATTATTTATTTATAATAATAATAATAATAATAATAATAATAATTATTATTATTATTATTATTATTATTATTATTTTTAATCATCTTATTTTATTTTATTTTTCTTATCCAAATGTGCTCAATGATTCTTCAATATCAATAAGAGACTTATATACCACCTTGACTATGATTTTTTTTATAATATAATAATTCAACTTAATACTATATAAGCTAACTAAATAATCAATGAACTTGCTAAAAATTAATATGTGTCTATACATAAAAGGAGAAAGTTTTGAATTAAAATCAGTTCAAAATCAACTATATAAAAAATTAAGAAATAAATTAAAATTGAAGTTTTATTGAGTTATTTAAATTTACTCTTTTTCCAAAACTGTTCTATTTCATTTGAATTTTAAATTAAAAATTAGGAATAAAACCAAATTATATGTTTACTATATTTAAATATAATATGATATGTTTAAATTTATTTATCAATTAATAAAAAATATATTTAAAATTTAATTATATTTTATTTATAATATATTTATATTATTTAAAATATAATAATAACTTTGGATTATAGATTTTAATGATAAGAATATGTAATTTATTTATTAATTTAATAGAAATTAAAAATATAAATATAATCCTAATTATACAATTTTTTATGATATATTTTTTAATTTGAGAAATTTTTATAAAATTTCTTATTACAAATTTTTCAAGAAAGTGTTTTAATTTTTTTTGTAAAATATTGTTTAACAATATCATAATAATAAAAACTGAAAATCAATTTCAACCAAATGGATTTAGTTTAGTTGGAATTTAAATTGATCCAAACTAAACCATTATTCATTTTGATGTTTGATTTAAATGATTATTTAATGAAAAAATCAAACTAAAGTTATTGAATTAAAATTCAACTACACCAAACTATATTTAATGTTTGTTTTAGATAATTATTTAATAAAAAAGCTAAAATAAACTTATTAAAAATAAAAAATTAATTAATTAAATTATATAAAATTTATATCATATTTATATATTATAAAATTATCATATTTTTAATTAACAAATTTCCTTATTTCATCACATTTATAAAAATAATTGAAATATATAAATTTAATAAATAATATGATATTTTATAAAAATAAAATATTTTATTATTATTTAATAAACAGTAAGATAAAAAAATTAATGTTTTGGAGTGAAAATTTATAAATATCAATTTAATTTTTTTCTTAATTATATTCTTAGTATCTATAAAGTAATAAATTTTGATCTTTCACCCCTAAAATTTTGTTATCACATTTTTTTTATGTCTAATTTATTTTAAGATAATTAAATCACGTTGATTTTACTTACTTTAATTATTTTTTAGAAATATAAACTATTAACAATTATGTCATAAAGGAGTCTTTTAAAAAAGTCTATTCAACTTTTTTTTTATGAAGCTAAACAGAATTATAAATATATTTTCTATATTTCTAAATATATATAATTTAAGGGTGTGTTTTCACAAATGAATATAAATATTACTTTTTATTATTTTTAATAAATTTTTTATTTTTATTAATATTTTTATTATTTTATATTCATTCAAAATTAGTTATAATAATTTATTACCTTCTTTCTATAATAAATATAACTAATAAAAAAATAATTATGAAAAATTATTAATATAATCTTAAATTTGATAAATAATAAATATATAAAAATAATTTTTTTCCAAGAAAAACTCCAATTATTTAGAATCAGATGAGGTATTATATAAGAAGCATTCGATATCTTTAAAATTAAATAAAAAAGTTTAATTTTGTTATTAAGACTAAAAGTAAAATTTCGTATTTTATAAGAACTAAACATATAATTAAATTATATATTTTTATTGTGAAAACATGTTAATGATTGGAATAAAACTAAGCTTAAACCTCTCAAATCAAATTTTTGGTTCCAGTATTTAGATAGAAAAAGAAGTTGATCAAGGGATAAACTGCATTTAAAATTATCAGTGGAGTTATTTTTATGAAAATTGATCAATATTTTGATTCGATATAATTTGTGAGAGAGAAAAAGAAAAAAAAAAAAAAGATTATAACCACAGACTCTGAAGTGTCATTTTTGTTTTGGTGATGGCCCATTTGGGATTTTTGAGGTTTGGTTGCATAGCAGAGTGAGTGAGGAAGCCACACACCGAGTTGTTCACTGGGAGATTTTGTTTTGGATGAGTTGTAATAACATTATCCAATGAAATGAGATATGGTTTACAAGTGGCACCACTCTAGTGGTGGACACGATTGATGCACACTTCTGGGGATCAGATAATTCACCAAACTAAACATGCTTCTTCATTCAAAGCCTCCCAGTGCTTTTCTTGCTCTTTGTCCTTTTGCCACCCTTAAGATCACCAGAAAGAGAGAGACCACCTGAGTCACACAACACACAAAGCAAATCATCGTATCATGGCTAGCACCAACATGGCATCAGCAGCATCTGGGTTTGTGTTGTCTCTTAATGTTGCAGCTGCCACCACAAACTCATCCCCTTCAAGGGTCATGTTCCCCTCCAAGAACAATGGTTCTAGGCTTGTTGTAAGGGCTTCAGATGAGGCTGCACCGGCACCAGCAACCGCCACTCCCCCAGCTGAAGCTGAAGCAAAACCAAAGCCACCACCTATTGGCCCCAAGAGAGGGGCTAAGGTCAGTTACCCCTATAACACAACTTTTTTGTGGTTATGATTTTGTTCATGTTCTGCTGAGTCACTTTAACATGTGAAAATGAACTTAGTTGTTGATTTTTGTGAATACACACTAGAATCCCTCTAGAATTGGTTTGATAACAACAAAAGGCTGATAAAAGGTATTGAATTGGTTCGAGTTAATGTGGCTAATTTTCGCCAATATGTATCTAAACTTGTCCTCTTCTTTCCATTTTCTTTCTTGCTAGAAAAGATTTATATTGTGAATTTGGATTTTCTTAAACTTCAAACTACTGTGTTATATGGTTCAACTCTAGGCTTCTGTATTGTATCCATGACCTTAAGCGTATCAAAGTAGTTTCTTGTTAGAAATATATTGAGAGAGGGAGAATTATGGAGGAACATGGTAGCACCATATTCTTTAACATACCCCTTTTAACATTCTTTTCACTGTTGATTAAAATTGACAAGTGCGATTCATTAAACAAGAAATGAGATCTTCACAAGTTTATAATTTTCAATAAATTTTCAGTTGAGAGAGTAAGTTGTAACATTTCTGTTCAAACTAAGTAGGAACAAAGAACAGTGATGAAACTAGTGTTATTTTATTCATTGGACTCTGTGTTAGTAAATAGTTTGAAAGTTGAAATTTGTTTTGAACTAGCTGAGAAGAAAGAGGGTTGGTTTCTAATTTTTCTTTGCAATCAACAGGTGAAGATTCTCAGGAAGGAATCTTATTGGTACAAAGGAACTGGTTCAGTGGTTGCTGTTGATCAGGTTTGTGCTACTAAACTCGCACCAAGACAATAAATAATTCCCTCTCAAATATCTACCATCCCATGCATTATGCAAACCCAATTCATGTTTTATTGGTCTGTGTTTGTTGTGAATGCAGGACCCCAAGACTCGCTACCCTGTTGTGGTTCGATTCAACAAAGTCAACTATGCCAATGTATCAACAAACAACTATGCTTTGGATGAGATAGAGGAAGTCGAATGAGTCCTATTTATTTGTAATTTTGCTGCTTGTCATGTTATCGTAGTTACTAGTCCAAGGTTTTTCCATGTCACAAAAAAAAAAAAAAAAAAAAATCTGTATCATATTCTCTCTGATCTCTATTCTCTGTGAACTACATTCTGTGTGCAGTTGCTCTTAATCTTCCACTACCCCTCTTCTTATTTTACTGAGATCAGTGACTAGTTTTGTTAGAGCCATCAACTTAGCCACATTACAACTATTGAAATTGGCCTAAATGAAAGCGAATTACTACCCATGCGTTTGTTCATGAGTTTGATCTGACTTTAACCAGTTTAATTTGATAGTTCTAACATATTTTGTCACATCTTAATGTAAAGTAAAAAAGATCAGTTTTGCACCTTATGGGGATATTGAAAGGAAAGACTATAGAGAATGAGATATTTCATGATGAGTGATGGCCCCGAAAAAAGAAACATTTTTTACGGGGAAGATAAAACATTTACGTTAGTACAACTACAGAGTGTGTTTAGAATTAACTCTGAATAACCTAAGTAGTATTTTTGCTTTGAAAAGCAACCATTTTTTTCTTCTTCATTTACCGCATATAGTTAACCCAACGAAGTAACAGTGATAGTGATAGAAAAGCTCCATGTTAGGCTCATTTATTGCACATTCTCATCAGGTATCGGGAATTTTCTGTTCCAAGCAATACTTCTATGTTACTTAATCACATACGCATTAACATGGAAAATCTTCATCGCGCATGGTAAGCATACGAATTAACGTACGTATCAGGTGTCATTTTAAAACCCGTGTATGAACATAATTTCTCCAAAATATAGATAGTCCTCATTTGAGCTAATATCCACTAAGCATATTTAACATGTAACAATAAGATCAACTTACAAAAATACATAAAAACAAAATCTGAAAAGTTTAATAGAATGTCCAATATAGGAAACAAAACCAGGAAAAGGAAATGAAGTAGAGGGGTACAGTCTTTGTTTTGTGGGGAGGGGGGTATAAGAGATCAACCTTTAAAAGTAGAAAAAAATACTAGTTCTTTTAAAGAACTCTACCATCCATGCCATCTAGTAGGCCAGTCCAGATTCCCTTTACTGAAGGTAGCTGTGCAACCAAAGCATTCCATGGAGGATAACCAACACCACTACCTCGAACACGACCATCCATGCGTAGGGATAGATACCTGTACAATGAGAGAAAAATTGTCTTTCAGTTGGAGTATCTATCTTAATCCTACCATATAATATGACAGCACAATTTCACAGCAAAACTATAACCTCATGAATGTAAAACTTTTCATGTTAAAAGAAAAAATGTGAATGATCTTTTGAAAACTTAGACATCTCCTCACATATATACTTGTCAGCACTAACAAACAAGGATAGTACTTACACTGGAGAATCAGAAGGTACACCAGCTAACTTCTTTTGCTCATCTAACCACCTATTGACAATAAAGGAACAATTTTTTAGATAAATTCAATTGCATATTAACTCTTTGAGTTATTTTTCATTCTCGAAAATGTGATAGGAATGAAAGGTGTTAAGCTTTTTATCATTCTCATAGACATACTCAGACCACTCATTGGTGTACACTGGAGCCAGCTGCCAGAGTCTCTTCCTTCTTGTGGGAAGTTCCTCCGTTTCCTCAAACTCTAAAGCAGGTGAGTTTCCATCTGTTACCAAGGGCACAACAAGCACCCCTCTATCCAAAAGACCTTCAGTGAATGGTTCACTGCGCTTAAAAGACTCGGTTACAAAGGATGCAGGGCCACCACAGATGACAAGGCGAGCAATTCCTCTCAATGAACTCACAGGAATGATCTTCTTCTCATCCACACGGAGCTTGAGGTTTGATAAGATTTCCTCTCTTGAGAGGCGAGCCACTTGTGCATTCTTTGCTTCGTTCTCTCTGAAGTACAAGAAAGCAAATAAAGACACTGCTGCAATGTCAATGCCAAGGCCCTTCAGAATTTCTGGGACTTCAGTTGCTCTTGATGAGTTAGCCAATGCTCCAATTAGTTGTGTAATTGCTATGAATGCCCCCAGAGAACCACTTGCAACAAAAGCAATATAAAAGAACATCCTAACAGACCGAAAGGGTGAGAGAACCTCGCTCCTTATCCTGGCTGTAGAGCTGAAGAACAAATATGATTAAAGATTGATGAAGCATCACTGGCTAATACAACCTGATGAAAAGAAGCATCGCGTAAAGAGGAAAAATCATAAGAAAGAACAAACATGAGTGAACTCTGCATTCATTTGAGAGGCTTGCCAAAACAAAATAACCATGCAAAATTGCTGACAAAAAGATCTTTTATAGCGTGTCTCATTCTAAATCTCAGATGTTGTATTTCCACATCTTCCACATTCCAACGTGATTTCTTGTTTTACAACAAGTTTCTAAGCACACTATATATCGATGATACTTTCATTATGTAATGTCATTATAACCACTCCATATGAAACTAAAGCTAATTGGGAAACAACAAGAAGATATGTCTATTGAAATGTTTACAAAGCAAGATAATTCTAATGAAAACTTATATGTTTGGTCCTAATCAAACTTCAGTGCCATTAAAAGGGGTATCAGAAATTCTAAGTTTACTATTAATAGGTGAAACTAGGAACTTATTTGTGACCACTAAATTCCACTCTCGGCATCAATTCTCATGATCAATTCATAGCTAGATTTTCCTCTGATGTCAATGCCAACCTGAACAATTCTCATTCATACATACATATATTATGTACGATCATGTCATGCATCTATACATTCTGATTGCAATTAAATTACCAGAAAAATCAATATACCTTAATGTAACAAGTCGCTGTTTCTCAATAACACGCTTTGCAACATTATTTTATCTGTTTATCTCTTTGTATCACATCAATTATCTTACCACACACTTCATTTCTATTCTTCCAAGCTCTCTCTTATGTTCTATATAAGAGAAACTATATAAATACAATTTCTCTTATGAACCATAGACCATTTGAACAATAATTTGGAATTTCTATTTATTACATAATTTTAACATTGATTCATGTGATACAAAGGAAGTGAGAGAGAGAAAAAGGGTACCTAATTTGTGATGAAGGGGATGGTTTATTGGCAGCAGAACAGACAATAGTGGCAAAGGAAGAAGAAGCCCTTTGGTCTGAAAAGGACAGAGTGTGTCCATAGCTGACACTCCGGCCACAGAACACAAAACTGGTACCAGGATTGATGAGGTTGTTGAGGGGTTGTGTGGTGAGAGTGAGAGACATAGTGTTGGAGTTATGAGTCACTGAACCGAAGGCTATAGCCATGGTTCGGTTCCTAACCAAGTGAGAGATTTGATTCAATTTGCCATGTGAAGGTGCAATGCAACTGAACTAACTCATCATCTTATTTGGATGATTCTGGTATTGCCACGCTTGCCCCTACCCCCAACCCATAATTATTACTATTTTGGAAACATTAAGATTTGGAAATCTATAAAACAAACATGTAAAAGGAAATTACTTTTTTATGATTAAAAATATGTTTTTAATTTTTTTATATATTTTTAATTTTGTTTATATATTTTAAAATTATCCTCTACATTTTTTTTATACAAAAATTTCATTTATAATTTATAGTATTATTTTTTAGTGTAAAGTCTTGATCCATTATATTTTTCTCATCCGTTACTAACTAATACAATAAATTGGACATATAATAAATTGGAATATAAAACCTAAATAACTATTATTTAAATTAATACTTTAGAAGATATCGATCCAATACTAAATATAATTACATGACTAAAATTACAAAAAGAAGATAAATAATCATGCTACAACCATTTTTAACTATAATAATGTTTTTACTTTTTAAGCTATATAATATATTATTATATAAGAAAAATATAATTTAATTTAGAATACACAATTTTCTTATAATTTTATTTTATTATAATAATATTTTGTTAACTAAAATTTCTAATGGTTATAATTATTTTTGTCATTTAAATTATTTTATTATTATTATTATTATTATTATTATAATATTAGCTTATGAAGAATGAATTACGTACATTTTTTTCATTACATTTCTTTTTCTACTTCTTTAAATATATTATAGAATTTTTAACAACATGAATTTTTTTAAATGTTTAATTTTATTTTTTTATAACTAAAATCATTTATTGAATTTATATAATAGAAATTTAGTCATATTTCATTGATAATAAGTTAGTTGATCAAAGAAGATCTTATCAATGTTTCTCACTATTCTCCTAAATTTGGATTCTTCTCATATTTTTATTATATTCCAATAAATATTATATAAAACTAAAAAATAAACAAGTCAACATATTAAACCTAGAATTACATAAATTTTTTGAAATAAATGTTAGATATATCTACTTCAGTTAATACTAGTTGTTAATAAAGTTTTGTTCAACAAATTGTGTATAATTAATCCAAAATAGGTTAAAGGAAACTAAAAGACTACTTTAATGTATACTAATAATTAAAAAAAAATCCTATCTGAATATTTTTATTAATATATCATTTTTTACTGCTCTATCAAAATACAAAAAAAAAATGTTAATTACGATATTAATATTGAATAATTATTCATAATTTTTTTTCTATAAAAATTGTTCTACATTCATTTCGAGCCGAATATATTAGACTCTTTCTAAAATATGTTTAAGGATTTTTTATTATTATTTGCTACCAGTCCCTCTTATTTATAAAAGCACTATATTTAAATCACGAAGACAAAAAATAATACATTTCAAATATAAACTTCTCCTAATTTTTTTTCCAAAATTAAACTTTACATATTTTATTCTATTTTTTATATCTAGCTATAATTATATTTTCAGTAATTACTTACTGTAAATATACATTAATGCTTTAAATATCAAACGACACCGTGAAAAAAAAAAAAAAGTTCTCCTATAAAATTAAACGGAAGCATGCTATATATTCCTTTTAGGAAACCAGCATGCTACTTCATAAATGCAAAAAAAAAATTCAATCTTTTGATAGAACGTGAAAAGTTCACAACTTTATATATTACCCTACAAACCGATCATCATCTTCAAACAAAAGGCATATATTCCTTTTTGGAAACCAGCATGCTACTTCATAAATGCAAAAAAAAAAAATTCAATCTTTTGATAGAACGTGAAAAGTTCACAACTTTATATATTACTCTACAAACCGATCATCATCTTCAAACAAAAGGCATAAGAAATGGAAAAGAAGAAGAACAAAAATTCAGGGATGTTAGGAAAAAGTGCTTATCTTTTGTCTCTGGTTTTGGCTTTGGCCTCACCAACCCTTTTAAATGGGTCAGGTATTTTCCCAGGATTCATAAAGTGGCACGTTTACGTTATGAATGAGTTGAGCAACAACCAAAGCTTGTTGGTTTATTGCCAATCCAAAGATGATGATCTGGGTAGCCATGAAGTCTGTGAAGGTGGGAATTTGACTTGGAGTTTTAGGACAGATTTCTTACACTCCACTGTATTTTGGTGCAGTGTGAAAAGGAACAACAGCGATGGTTGTGACAGTGTTGCTTCATTTGATGTGTTTTGGTACGATGAACATCTTTTTGAAAAGTGTAATTGGAAGAATTGTGTTTGGAGAGTTAGGGATGGTGGTATTTACTTGACAACTTTTTGTGAAACTCATGCTGACTTGTACTATCACTGGGGTGATATCGGCCATGGTTGATTCCTTTCTTTCTTTGCTTTTTCAATAACTGCATGCATGTTTTTGGATTACTTGTTTGTTTATTTTCTTCTTTTAGGTTTGTTATTTGATGAAATGTACCTGATTGTTATGAATAATGATTTTAAAAATGATCAGAATTGAATATTGTTCTTGAGGATTGGCCTCTGTCTATGACTGTCAGAAGAATTTTAAATTTTATTTTATGGAAGAAAAAGGGACTAATGTTGAAAGCAGTGCTAAATATTTCTTTTTTAAACTTTAGTTTTAGAAGACAGGGAAACCAATTGCAAGAACACAGTAAAATTTGGATAAATTAAAATTTGAGAAGATTGAGATTAAGTTTTAGATTCTGTCACTTAGAATAAATTTAAATATAAATTCAATTGTACTATGTCTTTTATGTTTTGTAATTTGTTTAAATATTAACTCCTCTCACAATAAAATTAAATATTTATGCTTCAATTAACTAGAAAAAAGGTTAGGTGTTTGTTTGCGACATTTTTTTCATAAATAATACTATTTTTAAAAATATTTTCCAAAATAGCACATCTCGAAACATTATTTATACAACTAGCACTCTTTACTGTTCACGTATTAAAATAATTGATCATTTTATATTATGATCGATCATTTTGCGCAATGAACTCTCGTTCAAGCGAATAAACCCTTCGCTTGAGTGAGGAAATCTGTAACAAAGGGGTAATCTCCGGTCAATTCTCGCTCAAGCGACGCGTATTTTCGCTTGAGCGAAAGGTGATTAAAATATGTCGTGACCCAAGTTGCGTTTTGTGGCTAACTGCGTTAGACGTTTAGCCTTGGTTAATTCTCGCTCGAGCGATGAGTTACTTCGCTCGAGTGAGAATTGATTGAGTAACTGCGTTGGACCGTGGTCAATTCTCGCTCAAGCGAAACATCCATCGCTTGAGCGAAGAAATTTATAATCGATTATTATTTGAACTAATCGATCATAATTTTAAAATAATAGCGGTTAGTTCTAGAACCGCTATTTAAAATATACTTTTAATAGCGGTTAGTTCTAGAACTGTTATCTTAAATATACTTTTAATGGCGATTAGTTCTAGAACCGCTATCTAAAATATACTTTTAATAGCGGTTAGCTCTAGAACCGCTATCTAAAATCTCGGGTCAATTCTCACGCAAGCGAGAAACCCATCGGTTGAGCGAGGAAACCTGCAACTATTTACAATGCTGAGTCACCCACCCAAGTCAGGATTCCCATACACATGCACCAAACTTCATGGAACCATACAACCCAGCACAACATTTTCTTAACTTTCAAAGTCACATTCAACAACAAGACCCAGAGTATGGTCATGCGTTGGACAGAGAGTCTTTTGTTTCTCCAGCAGGAACTCTATTTCTTGGACAACGATTCATAACAAAAGAACAAGTTCAAGATGTCATCAACCGCTTTCACATTGTCAATCACTGCACATACAAGGTGAAAATTTCAAACCAAAGTAGATATGTTGTTGAATGTGTTGATAACCAATGCAATTGGAGATGTCGAGCAATATTGCGCACAAGAGAGCAATATTGGGAGATTATGAAGCTTGAAGGGCACCATACATGCGTTTCGCCATTAATCAGCCAAGACCACAACAAGTTGGGATATAAAATGATTTCCCAAACAATTGGTCAAATAATTGATGTTGATTCATCAACACCAATCTCCACAATCATAGCCCACATCCAATTAACAACGGATTACACTATAACATACAGGAAGGCCTGGTTGGCCAAACAAAAGGCAGTGGAGATCATCTACGGCAATTGGGAGGGATTCGTATAAGAAGTTGCCTTGTTTGTTACAAGTCATGCAACAATTTGTTCCCGGATTCATCTACAAACTGCAGTCACAACCAGCTTACCAAGGTGAAGTCCTTCAACAAAATTCAAATATTTTTAAACGTGTGTTTTGGTCGTTTAGGTCATGCATAGATGGATTTGTTCACTGCAAGCCCATTGTTCAAGTGGACGGAACTTTTTTGTATGGAAAATATAGAGGTACCTTGTTGGTTGCAGTAGCACAAGATGGCCGCAACAACATCCTCCCCATTGCAAAGTGGTTGAAGGTGAAACAAGTGATGCCTGATTTTTTTTCTTAAAAAACCTTCAAAGATATGTCACACCCCAGCAAGGATTATGCCTTATATCAGACCGACATGAATCCATTAGAAGTGCATACATGAGAAATGGAAGCGGATGGACAGAAAATAATTCAATGCATGTCTACTGCATTAGACACATTGCACAGAATTTTATGAGAAGTTTCAAAAACACCGCACAGAATTTTATGGGTAATTCCTTTGCTTCAAATTTATTACAATTTATTCATTATTTAATTGTTGCTAATATATCTTAAAAGTGACACATGTTTGACACATATATCTTAAAAGTGACAAATATATCTTAAAGTTGACACATGTTTGAATCAGATATCGCTCGAGCGAGACTAATGTCGCTCAAGCGAAATACAACCCGAGAATCCCAATTTTTTGCAGGTGCTTTCGCTCGAGCGATGTCAATATCGCTTGAGCGAATGTTGACCTGTTGCTAAACGTCGATCAAACTTAGCCGCATAATGTAACATGGGTGACCACATGTTTGAATCGGTTATCGCTCGACCGAGAATAGGGTCGGTCAAGCGAAACACAACCCGAGAATCCCCAATCTTAGCAGGTGCGTCGCTCGAGCGATGTGAATTTCGCTTGAGCGATATTAGAAAAATCAGATAAAATGATCGATTATTTTAGGTTATAATCGATTATACGTTATGATGATCGATTATAAGTGGTATATGATCGGTTATATTTTGCTAATAGATTATAATTTTAATTTATCTGTCATAATTAAAATTATGAGTGGTATATGATCGGTTATAGACCACCTCCTTCGTGGTCACAGTTTGGGTACTTGAAGAAGTCGCTTCTGAGTGAGTGCGCTTGAAGCTTTTTCTTTTGCCAGCCATGGTATATCTTTACGACTATTGAGATAGTCAACAGTGAACGAAAACAGAAAACAGAGAATCTGCGAGTAATTAGAAAGCAAAGAATACATTAACCTCGATGGTTGCTGTATGCTTCTTCTTTAAAATGCAAACGAAATCAAACAAGATGAACCATCAAATTTAAATTCAAAACCGAAATCAACAACCATATTAAACCCTAAACCAAATGAACAGAACCCAATATTAAACATAGACGAACCAGAGCCCGGAGAGAACGAACGTTTCTTTTGCGTGCGCCGACAAGAGAGATGCAGAGCGAAATTATGTAAAACTATAATCGCTTAGCACAAACTATGATCGATGTTCTCCAACTATAATCGATCATTCTCAATTATACTTTGGCAAAGATCTCATTGATTTGATGAAGTCAAAGATGAAGTCAAAAGTCAACTTTGCAGCGGTCAACAAGTCACTTTGATAAAAGAGTAGAAAGATTAGTGTATCTCCAGAATGCTTAGGTAAAATCATTTTATCTTTTCTGCTGCATGAGGTTTCTTCACTTAAATGACTTTGCAAAATGCCTCTAAAATCATTTTAAACAATAAAAAACAAAGTATTTTGACAAAAGCTTTCTCAAACATGTTTTTAACTGATATAGTTTTGAAAGAACCGATTAAAATCATTTAGAATGTTCAGAGAAGTGTTTTTACAGTATTTTAATCGATACAACTTGATTTTAATCGATTAAATCCATTTAGAACTCATTATGATCGATCAGAATACAAATATGACCGATCAGAATCAGATGTGATCGATCAGATTTAAATTATGAGCGATCAAAATTTTTTCAATCGATTAAAACACGTTTCAATCGATTAGAATCACTTAAAGGTTCAGGATGATCGATCAGAATGCAATTATGACCGATCAGAATCAGTTATGATCGATCAGAATTGAGTTATGACCGATCAGAACTATTTCAATCGATTAAAACACGTTTTAACCGATTAAAACAACTTGGAAAAATTATGCACAGAGTTTTAATCGATTAAAACCTATTTTTATCAGTTAAAATAACTTGAAAAGTTTTACAAGAAAGTTTTGCAGTATTTAAATCGATTGAATCGTGAAACAATCGATTAAATAAACTTAGAAGATTTTCTGTAAAGTGTTTTAACTGATATAAACGTTGTCGTATCAGTTAAAACAAATCTGTTAAAGAATCAAGAACGTATTAATGGATTGAAAGGACTTTTAACAGATTGAAACGGCTATTTCAACAGATTAAAACAAACTTTTAACAGATTAATTAATGCAGCAGTTTTGAAAATACTCTTTAAAAACAGTTTGGCTTGAACTTTTTAAACAGACATTGAACATCAGTTTTTACACATCCTTAAGCAATCATTCAAGCAAACCTTAGCACTCTTTTCAAGAAAGATTCGCAACAATTTTTTAGAAGTTCTTTTGAAAATCTTTCTTGAGGCATATTGCTTTTCTTTGAAGAAGAAACTCACTGCAGATTTGGATAAATTGGTTTGAGCTTTCTAGTTTCTTCTTTGTCAATTCTTTTTCATTCGTTTGTATTGTTGGTGCCTGGAATTTGGGCACTGGTTTCTCTGTAGCTGGAATTTGGTTGTAGAGGTTATCAAGAACTGGAATTTGGTTCTTGGTGAAAGGTTAGGTGTTGGTGCCTGGAATTTGGGCACTGGTTTCTCTACAGCTGGAATTTGGTTGTAGAGGTTATCAAGAGCTGGAATTTGGTTCTTGGTGGAGAGGTTAAGTGCAGGAACTGGAATTTGGTTCTTGTGATAGATTAGGTGTAAGATTGTTGAATCTATAAAACATTTAATCTAGTGGAACCCAGCTGGAATTTGGCTGGAGACTGGAGGTAGCCCTGGTATTGGGTGAACCAGTATAAAATACCGGTGATATCTTTCTTAACCTTTCTCTCCTTTAAATTCAGTTGATGCGCTTATTTTGATTGATTGCTTTGTGATTCAAGAACATATCTTTAAACTTAATTTTCGAATTAGATAATATGTTATTTGCGAAAAACTTTCAAAGATCAATTCACCCCCCTCTTGATCTAAAACTACTTTTCTAACATATCGATTATTTTAGGTTATAATCGATTATACGTTATGATGATCGATTATAAGTGGTATATGATCGGTTATATTTTGCTAATAGATTATAATTTTAATTTATCTGTCATAATTAAAATTATGAGTGGTATATGATCGGTTATAAGTGGTATATGATCGGTTATAGACCACCTCCTTCGTGGTCACAGTTTGGGTACTTGAAGAAGTCGCTTCTGAGTGAGTGCGCTTGGAGCTTTTTCTTTTGCCAGCCATGGTATATGTTTACGACTATTGAGATAGTCAACAGTGAACGAAAACAGAGAACAGAGAATCTGCGAGTAATTAGAAAGCAAATAATACATTAACCTCGATGGTTGCTGTATGCTTCTTCTTTAAAATGCAAACGAAATCAAACAAGATGAACCATCAAATTTAAATTCAAAACCGAAATCAACAACCATATTAAACCCTAAACCAAATGAACAGAACCCAATATTAAACATAGACGAACCAGAGCCCGGAGAGAACGAACGTTTCTTTTGCGTGCGCCGGCAAGAGAGATGCAGAGCGAAATTATGTAAAACTATAATCGCTTAGCACAAACTATGATCGATGTTCTCCAACTATAATCGATCATTCTCAATTATAATCTGTTATCGAAAATTATAATCGATTATTATCCAATTATAGTCGATAACTTTGACATATATGACTTTAGATAGCGGTTATTTGGCCACCCGCTCTTTTAAAGCGTTCCACGGATCAACCGCTCTTTTAAAGTATGATATAAGGGAGCGGTTATAAAAAAACCGCTATTATAAACATACGTTAAACAGCGGTTTAAGACTAACTGCTATCTAATATATATTTTTAAAAGCGGTTCTTATTAACCGCTATCTAATGTCGCTCAAGCGAAAAGCACATGTCTTGAGTGAGGACAACTGGAAATGTGGTTATCCATGTTACAGTATGTGGCTAATCCTCGCTCAAGCGAGACATCCATCGCTTGAGCGAATAAATTTATAATCGATTATAATTTGAACTAATCGATCATAATTTTAAAATAATCGAATATACAAAATTATGATCGATTTTAGATAGCGGTTCTAGAACTAACCGCTATTAAAAGTGAACATATAATAGCGGTTTCACGTTAACCGCTATCTAAAACCACGGTCCAACGCAGTTACCCAATCAATTCTCGTTCGAGCGACGTCACTCATCGCTGGAGTGAGAATTGACCAATGGCTAAACGGCCAACGCACTTAGCCACATAACGCAACTTGGGTCACCACATATTTTAATCACCTGTCGCTCAAGCGAAAATACCCGTCGCTGTAGCGAGAATTGACCGGAGATTACCCCTTTGTTTCAGATTGCCTCGCTCAAGCGAAGGGTTTCTTCGCTTGAGCGAGAATTGACCCGAGATTATCCCTTTGTTACAGATTTCCTCGCTAAGCGTAGGGTGTCTTCGCTTGAGCGATAATTGACCCGAGATTACCCCTTTGTTACAGATTTCCTCGCTCAAGCGAAGGGTTTCATCGCTTGAGCGAGAGTTCATTGCTTAAAATAATCGATCATAATATGAAATGATCGATTATTTTAATACGTGAACAGTAAAGAGTGCTAGTAAATAATGTTCCAGTTGTGCTATTTTGAGAAATATTTTAAAAAATAGTGTTATTTATGAAAAAAAAATCGTTTGTTTGCTCTAAGAAACGGTAAATGAGAAAAATGTAAAAATCATATTTTTCACAGATAAGTTTGATTTCTTCAAAGAAATAAAATTGGTTTGAGACTTTTCTAAAAAGACTAAACAAATAATTATATATGTCTGGAGAATTATATTTTACATAACTTTTTAAGGAGACTGTAAAAAAAATGTTAAATTGGAAAACTAAAATCATATTTAAGTAGTAGAATTTCAAACAAGAGATATGGTATGATTGTATTTAATGTTTAATCATATCTTGAATGAATTGTTTTAAAAGAAAAATGAATAAATAAAAGATGGAGAAGTTATGGATAAAGTAGAAGGCAGGTATGAATGGTCAAAGTTAACGCAGGACCAATTCCACCGTATCATCTCACCCCTGAATTGGATTGAACTGCCCTCACTTTGCATTAAAGTTCAACAGCAACAACTGTAAGCCAATTTTTCTTTCTCTTTTTAATTTTTCTTTGAAGTTTGAACTTGATTAGCCTCCTAAATAAAGTATGCAATATTGTAATTTTGATGCCATAGGGTTGATGATATCATGTCTTTCATCGTCTCTTGTTAAGTCTGGAAAAGATCTTCGGCTTTGTATTCACAAGGTTCAGGAAGTGATAATTATGTTATTAGATTAATGAAAAGGTTTGAAGATTTGCTAGCAGTTTTTGAAACCTATATTTGGTTCAAGTTCGCTTGTGCCAATTTTTCTTTCTTTCAGCTTCATTTTCCTTTGGATCTTCTTGAGCAGAGAAAAAGGAAAGAAAATCAGCTCCTCAGTCCTCACAAACAGCAAAAATTGTATTAGAAAAGCACACATCTCATTCAACGCTTATTCTTCTTGAAGTAATTTAAAACATTCAACCTCCAAGGCAGAAAAAGTGGCGATAGTCAATGGAAGGAAACGTTGGTCTTTTGTGTTTTTAATATTCCCATCATGCCAACCTAGATCTTGACATTTTCTACTGTTTTTGAGTATATCTATCAAGAGAGACAAACAATGTAGAGAATCTTATCCTTCAATCTAAACACAAATCGTAGTTTTATTTATTTATATAATAATTATTTTGGAAAACCATACTGTATATGTAGTTGATTCACAGTGTATGGAAAATAAATTCAAAATTTCATAATATGAGATGATCCGTTCCTAATGTTTAGAAGTACTAGAGAGTATCATTTTGTGAAACTTGCAAAATTCTGCAACCATTCTATTTTAACTTCTCTGATAATCACTGTAACCATGTGCAGTTACAGAGCTGGATCACAGAATGGGAGAACTGAAGCTACTGGGAGTTTGGCCTAGTCCATACGTTTACAGGATCATATGGGCTTTAGAACTAAAGGACAAAAAGTATGAGTACGTAGAAGGAGAATTCCATAACCCTGATTTCACTGATTTGTTATTGAAGTATAACCCTGTTTACAAAAAGGTTCCAGTCCTTCTTGTTGATGGAAAGCCAATCGCAGAATCGACTGTCATTCTTGAATACATAGAGGAAACATGGCCACAGCCACCCTTGCTTCCACAGGACCCATGTGAGAAGGCTGTGGCACGGTTTTGGGTGAGTTTTGCTGAAGAAAAGGTAACTAGGTTGTTTGTTAAACAGTTGAGATTTCAATTCTCTCTTTTGTTGTTCTGTCATTTATTATATATCTATATTTGCAATCCCAATTGTAGAGTACTTCGTTTATGTCATTCTTTGTGACTGTTGGAGAAGAGTTTCAGAAGGCAACACAAGAGGTTAGAGAAGTGCTGAAAGTATTAGAAGAAACCATTGGGGACAAAAAGTATTTTGGTGGTGAAGAAATTGGACTTTTGGACATAAACTTGGGATGGATAGCCTTGTCATTTGGAGTCATTGAAGATATTGTTGGTGTAAAGGTGTTGGTAGCCGATGATTTTCCTCGCTTGTTTACTTGGATTCAGAACTTCAGAGAGCACCCCTCTATCAGAACACACCTTCCTAGTCATCATGAGTTGTTTGCTTATTACAAGAAAAAGAGAGAGGCTATTATTCCATCCAATACAGCATGAATGCTGGCATGAACTGATTTGCATCTGCATGATTGGATTATGCATAGATAACATTTTTAATTCAATGATTCAACTTTCACAATTCAACCCTCATTCAATGTGAAAAATATGCTCACTACAGTTTGTGATTTATTGGTAAGTGTCCAGCGCTTTGGACAACTGAGCCGTCACTTTTCTTTCAAGTTAAATTACAAGCTTGAAATAGATGGTGGAGTTAATAAGCCAATAGTGGCTTTCCTTGCATCCATCAAGAAAATTAGGAGATCCATGGTTCACAAGTCTGATTCCACTCAACTTTTTGCGGGCTCCGTCTCAGATTAAAACAAAGAAGAGCATTTGCCTTCTTGAATGATTGGAAACTCAATATATTGGAAGAATGATTTAGATTGTGCCTTATTTATAGTATTACGAATTTAATTGCACTTTCTCCTGAGCATGACAAACGGACAATGCGTGTCTAAACCAAACTGGTCGAGGACAATCAAGACCAATTCTTCTAGTTCTGTAAACCATTAAATAGCAGATTTGTAACTACAAGGGCCTCATTGAAAAGGTAGTTATCAGTGCGTTCCGATTTCATTCAACCAACATCTGTGACTAACAATAGCATTCTGCATTGACCAACAAAACAACAAATTGGTAACCGATCAGGTTCACCCTAGGATGCCAGTCTTTAGCTCCCTGGTTTTTTAGCATTAGCTTCTGATAGCAACGGTTCAAGTTCTCCTTTCCGGTACAGCCTCAGGGTGTCTGCATGGGTTAAAAACAATGTTGGACAAATTGAGAAAACAAAGAAATTACACTTTTATATTTTTATTAAACTGTAGTGTTAAACTTGTTGAAACTTCTAAAATACTAAGTTCATATATGCAGACAATAGACATTCTCAGTTAGGGATATTTTGCAATAAAAAGCAGAATGGTAATTCATAGGAATGTAAAAATAAGTATGTTTTCCACTTTAACAATCAATAATAATATAAGACATTTTGAACTGTGGAGACATTCCCCCTTAGACAATCAATAATATAAAAGACAACGAAACAAGGACAATATATACCTGAACAGCCGCCAATGTGTTTGCCACCTACAATGAAGAACAATTTTAGGATTGATTATAAACTATTCCGTTCAAAATGTGAACTTAAAAGCCAGGTAATAGAAATAGTGCTTTTATAGATAGTATGATGATGCAATAGTTCAGGCATTAAAAGAAATTAAATAGTACATCGGGACTTGCTTGCTTTCAGGGTATGCGAGTGGTCAATATCGCCTAGTTTTCAAGTTGGGTTTCGATAAAGCTTGTGGTTGAATGTGGCTGAACAATTATAATAAGATTACTTTTTTGAACAAAATTAATTTTGGTTTATTTCATAAAAACCATGACAACAAGTGGGTTATACTTTATTACATCGTGATTTTGAATCAAAAGTGAGATTACAAGAAATTACGATCTATTTATCCCATCAATAACCAAGCTAAGGCTGGTGTAACATACGGGATTTTCCATTTCAATTGATTCCTCATGAAACTGAACTAGACTAACAACAAATATTGCATATGGTATTCAACTCTGGGATGAATTAAAAAACAAATATTTATGGGTTCTATTCTAACTCCTCTTTTTAGGCAGAGAAGGAATCTAGTTATTGAGGTATCATAAACACAATCCCTTCTGCAGATACTTGGATCTGCTCATTTTTCTCCTCCATTGCCCATTTGGAAGTCCATGGTTGTTTTAATGTAATTTGTACTTCACATTTGCAGAGAGACTGGGCAGCTTGGTGGATTATTTATAGGTTTTTACTTACCTTCATCCCCTCTTTTTGTTGTTCTGTCATCTGTGCGCATTATTAAAGGAGAAACGCTCTGCTGGTACTTGGATCTCCTCACTTTCTCCTCTATTACAAATTCATTAGGAAGTCCACGGTTGTTTTAAAGGAGTATGTGAGAATGGACAACCTGGGGCATAATTGGTTTTTACTCACCTTCAACATACCTTATCCAAGTCCAATAGTAATAATTTCTCTTCTCTCAAATGATTCTTTTATTAAAAAAACAGTGAACACTTTCACATCTGAATTTGTTCCATTCTCTCTGTTGGGTGAGTACAAGGGGAGAAACAGCTGGAAATATAACATTATCTTTAATTTAAAACCATAAGGCTTTCACAAATCTTTCTCATTTATATATTACTCAATTTTCTCAATTCTACGTAATGTGTAACTCTTCTAGTTCACACTTGAATTCCAACAATCACAAACCTGGGTTCCATCATTCACTTCATATTGTACTCATCTAAGCTGATAACTAAGATGAATCATGGGTTCTAATAGCACATTTTGGAAAATTAAGAAAATATTCACCAAAAAACTTGAATCAACATATAAGAGAACATGACAGTATCTTCAATCTTAAACCTTAAGAACAATAGGTTTGTAGGGATCTTTCTCACTTATTTGTTGTTCAACTTTCTTATTTCTTTCTATAAAATATAAGACTCTCTCTCTCTCTCTCTCTCTCTCTCTCTCTCATAAATCATTAGATTTTAAGCAACTTCATCATGCCCTCAGCCTATAAAGCCTTATCATGTGTCCTATTTAACATCATATAATTTTCAAGTTATAATTTATACTAAGTAGCAGTTCAAGTCGAACATACACAGTATGTAGAAGATTCTGTCAAATCAATGAAATCTTCATAACCTAACAAGTATGAGGGAATTAATCTCATATTGTAATATTCTTAGTATCTTCCCTTGGATAAAGTCAGAGTAGATATTTCATGAAAGGAAGATATTCCATGAAAGGAACACAATATCATCACATCCAAAATTAAAGTTTTAACACTTCTCATTGTGTAAAAATTAGCTGTATCATTGATAAGAAATTTGGAAACTGAGAAGAAGCATAACCCCACATTGGTGCACTGCTAAAGATTATTTTACAGCCTCGAGACACCAGCTATCCAGCAGTCAATAACATATGGATCCACAAAATCACCAATTTCTAGTTGCAATTAAAATCGTATCACATAACAGTAATGTAGGAGTGTAAGTAGAAAGCTGAACAAGACACAATTTGATGCAGCATCTGCAAGTTGGATATGCAACAAGACTTGGCACTGAAATCTACAATTCGACTGCATGCTATCACTGGCCAAGCATTTAATGTCTTACTTCACTATTAAGCTCTCTTAGAGTTTTCAGGATTATTTTGTTACATGAAATCAGCCCATTAAAAGAGGCTAATAGGAATAAGGTACTTGTATCAAATTGAGTGAAATCTTAGAGATCCCCTCCCTCCGTCTCTCTTGTTTATAGTCATGTGTGAGTATGAGAAATATTTCCATTTCTGTTCCAATTATTTTCTACATCCCACTCTTCAACCACAAGTTTCAGGATGTACCAAGAGGAACTGACCCAAAGGGAGGGGCATGTCAAATAAGTGGCCTCTCTATCAACAATAAAATAAATATCGACCAGTCAAGCAGTTCCTCTTGGCATCCAATCCACCAACAGTAACAACAAATCAAAACCCATAGATGTTATTATGAATGGTCATTGGATTTTTAAAAATTCAATCCAAATCCAATATAATAAATTGGATTTGAAATCCAGATCTATTTAATTGGATCAAATTAATTTGGATTTTTTTAATCTAATCTAAATTTGGATTTAAATTAGATTAAATTCATATCCATTTAACCTATTTAATTTGGATAAAATTGGTATCAAAATTGAGGCTATTATATCTGATAAATTTAAATTAAGTTTTATTTCAATTATAATTAAGATATTTTTCAAGATTAAATTGTTAAGTTTGAGAAAAGGGGGTGATAGTTTTAATAGGATACAATTGTTTGATTATTCTAATTGAAGCTTTTTCTCTCACTGCTTAATTATTTTTGCACATAAAACTTTTCTCAGTTTTTGATCTTTTGGTAATATGAGTTACTATGTATGCTCTTTGTGTTTGTTCCATTTTTAATATAATGACTTGTTGTTTATAAAATTTTCTTATTTCCTACTATATTAGTCTTTAGAAATCAAATAATTTGTGATAAGCAAGATTAATTTTTAATACAATGTTCTAGTTGAGGCTGATCCAACAGCACCTCAATCGAATTCAAACCAAAGATATACTTTGCTGATCAAGTAAAAAATGTCGCAAAACTTATCTTAACCAAACAATTTCTTAGGATTAATACTGATTTTGGATTTTTTAAAATCCAAAAAAATATCCAATCTAAACCCAATTAATTGGATTGGATTTAAAATCCAAAAATATTGATTAATTTGAAACGGATCGATTAAAATGGACTTAAAGTGATTTATATCAGTATCATTATGGATTGGATTTGAATATTTGAATTTTTTGCACACCCTGATGCCAATGCCATAAATATTTAGGATTTAGGGACAACAAATGTTTAAGTATGATTAAGTAAGAATAACGTATCGAAGATGGTACTGCTTACCAATAAAAACATTCGGCACGGTGTGCTGCCCTGTGATCCTTTCCAACATCTTATGCAACTGTGGCCCTTGAGGACCTAGACAGAAAACACATAAGACACAAAACAAATGGAAAAAGCAAAACTGATAAGGCAAATTGCAAAGAGTGAGTTTCCCCTTTTTGTTCAAAAAATATTGATGAATTCCGCAAATTTCTATCATCAGCGGAAATATTTACTAGCAATACACTCAATTAAAAAAATAACCAAGAGAAAGGCAATTCACATTTATCTAAAAAATTAAACTTGTACGTAGGAGTTGTGGCAATTTTGTTGCCATTCATTCAAGTAACCGGTACTAAAATCATATAAATTCCTCGGCATAGGCAATTCAGGAATTAGCATACGCAATATTACCAAGGAATAACTTGGATTGAAGACCACTATCACTAGGTGCGTGTATCAATTTGATGAAAAAATTAATAAAATGAGAAAGAACAGATAGGGTTAAGGGGAAAATGTAAACATTAATGAAGAATTAAGAATAGGAGATGAATTGAAGAAAAAAAAAATACCCATTTCGTCTAATTCGAAGACCAGAGGATTGACGCCGAGCTTGTTGAAGAGGGATTTCACCTCAGTAGAATAGGAGCACCAGGTTTTGGAATAAACAACGACGGGGTTATCCGCAACGGTTTTCTTGATGGTGTCTTCGAGGCGAGAGCCGAAGGAGGAAGAGGAGGAGGAGGAGGAAGAAGAGGTGGCTCGAACGGAGGGGAAGGTGCGTTTTGGCGTTGGAGAAGCATTGATGGAGGAAATGGAGAAGAGTTTTGTGACAGAAAAGGAAGAAGAAGATGAAGAAGAAGATAGCTTCGGAGAAGGTTTGAAGTTTGAGAGGGGAAGAACAATAGCGTTTCCTAAAGCCAACGCCATACTTCACTTTTTCAGTTCTCTTCCTACTTCTCTCACTTTCTTCCCTTATTTTCTCGCTTACACTCTCTATACCTTCTTCTTCTTCCTTTATTTTTTTCCTTTTTTAAAATATTTTAATAATTATTTAAAAGGTACAAAATTAAAATATAAATAAAAGCATTTAAAACAATCAAATAATGCAAAATATTATTCTCCTTTTTATTTATTTATTATTATTATTATTTACGTTCTTTCTCTTTTTTTTTTTTCACTTCTCAGATTTCTTTTCTTCTAACAAAGTCTAAAATGTTTCACTTGCTTTTTCGACCGTTAGTTGTAGTGACACATGCTATCCGTGAACAATTGAATATAGCCACGGATTGGTTCATCTCACGTTAAACCCTTTATATATTTAATATTATATATGGTATAATTATTTATTTTTATCTCTATTCTTTAAATATATTTTTTATTGGTATTATTTATTCTCATATTTTTATTATTTTTTAAATATATAAATTGTAATAGTTGTTTTTTCTTTTAAATGATGCGTCTTTAACTATCTTTTATTCTTTATTTTCTATTTTATTTTTTCAATAACTTTTTTTTTTTACTTTAAACCTTAAACACATTAACAATATTAAATTACAAACAACGTAATAACTATAATCTCTTGTTACAAATTGCTAATTTTTCTTCACTTTTTCAACTTTATTATTTTTATTTCGTCTTAATCCTCATTTCTTAGCAACATATTATTGAAGTATTTACTCGTTTATTTGCTCTAGTAGAACCAGGGGCGGAATTAAGGAGCTAGCAGACACCAAACTAATTATATATATAATAATTTATTAATTTAAAAATAAAACAAAAAATATTAATAAATATAAATAAAATTTATTTCTTTTTATTTTTTCTTCATTTATTTTTTTAATTTATAATAAATATCATATTTATTCTTTTATATAATTTTTATTTACCTCTTTTTTTTCTATTTTTAAATTTTTATTTTTCTTCTTTTATCTTTTTATTTCTTTTTTACGACTTTTTTTATCGGACAGTATCTTTTCATATTTCCACATTTTATTTTTATCACTCATTCATTCTTTCTTTCTTTTTTTCTTCATCGTTTCATTTTACAACATAAAAATTTAATTTTTTTTTTAATTTTTAAATGTTTTTTATTATAATTTTATGTCTATAACATAAAAGTTATATTTTTTTATTATCTAGTTTTCTAGTTTTTTTTCTTCTAGGTTCAAGAAAAAATGGTTAAAAAAAATCTCATAACAATTTTTTAAAAGTAAAAATCAGTCAAAAAATTATTTCTATTTATTATTATAATAATTAATATGCATAGTATAATATAAAAATATGAAATATTGATATAATATTTTTTATTTGATATAAATTAGTTAATTATTTTAATGTTTTATAATATTCTATTTTGATATTTAGATGTAAAAAAAAATCAGTTTGAATTTTAAAAATATTTAACAATCTAATTATAAACTATTTTTTAAGAAAAAAATAAATGAAATACTTTTTTTAATTTCAATTCAATTAATAATATTAAATACGTAATATATTTACTTTTGTATGATAATTAGTTGTCTTTTAGTCTAAAATTCTTATTTCTACTAAAGTTAGAGTCTATGATATACAACTGTCTACTGTATATATAATATTATGAACCTAAATTTCAATATAAAGTTAAAAACATAAAAGATAAATATATTAATTATTATGTATACACTAAAATTAAGTTTTTTTCAAATTTTTACTAAGAAAAAGACATGAAATGCTTTCCAAGATAATTAAAATGGAATGTTAGTTAAATAGTGAATTATTGAATAATGTGACATCTTTGATTATTTTATTTATAGGGTATTTTGTGAAATCTATAATTCTCTATAATGAAGTTATAATTTTTATGTATTATGCTTTGTTAAATATCCGAAAATCTATTTTTGTTTTTGAAGAATATTTTTTTAAAATTAAAGATGGATCATCCTGTTTAACTCAACAATATATGGTTTGTTGGGCTTTTTATTTAAAAAAAAAATTAAAGTGAAGCAAGTGAAGCCTCACAATTTATATAGTAGGCCAAGGTGGGTTAGATCCAAGAGACCAATTTAGGCCATTTTGGATCCGCTAAAGAGAGAGAGGTTTAGTGGGTATTTTTAAAGTGTATTGGAGGGAGTGGGTTTAGATTTCATTGGGTTTTATAACACACTTTTTTTTTTTTCATGCACTTCCATACTTTTTTTTTCTGCATCCATATTTATTTGAAAAGACATAATACCCTTAGTTTTATGGAATGTATGATTCAAAAATATATTGTGGAATATTTTAGAAGATTTATGGAAAATTCATTCCAAAATATTTCTCAAAAGCTTTCAGAAATGTTAATTTTAGTATAATTTCGTAAAATTTTTAGAATAGTGAATCCGAAACTTATTTACATTAAGAACAATATTGTATTTTTAGATAAGTATGGGGTGCAAGAAGAAAGTATAGAGTGAGGAAGAAAGAAAAAACAAAGCCAGTTTGATAGTTGTCCCAAACACTAGTTCAATGCATTTACTGAAAGCACATGTCTTGAAGAGTGATGATTTTTGTCCTTATTAAAAAAGCTCACAATACTAAATCTAAAAGGTCCACTGTAACATGTATCTTCCACAAGCTAATTTGATCCATCCAAGAGAGGCCAATTTTCTCTCTCTCTCTTCTCTTTGTCTCATTTCTCCCAAGTTAACACTGACTTCTGTCCAGTGGGCAAAAAAATGAAAGAGAAGTAAAGTCCAAATCAACTTTTGAGGGTCCAAATCAACTTAGACATGATATATTTGGACAAGAACCAACATGATCCCAAAAGATTAAACTAGTGGATGGAAGGTCATTATTCGTATGTTTGTATAACTAGTAACACCTCTTATTTTGTGTGTGTAATCTCTACACTTCTTTCGTCCAAATTGTCATGCATTCACCACTCAAGTATGAACGATCCTAACGGGCCACAACTATGGTCTAGACTTGTATAGTCATTTCAAACTAGCTGGTGTTTCACATGTCACTGTTTTGGTGCTTTCAATTCTTTGCTTCTTCTATTGATAATTTCCTTGTAAAAGGTTAGTTGATGAGGTTGATTGTCCACAGAACAAAGTGATCAAGATGTTGGTCTGGTCCTCATAATGCACAACAAACTCAGATTATTTGTTGTCCTTCAGTTTTTGCTACATTCATTCAAATGTTCTTTTGGTTTCCTTTAGATGTGTTTCATGGCTACATCCATTGGATTGTCCATCATTTTTCTCCCTCTTGTATATTTTCCCTAGCTGATATTCATAGTCACATTTGCATTGTAGTATTTCTCTAGAGCTTGACTGATTCTATTTTCAAAAGTTGAAATGGGTTTAGATGTCAGTCTTGTGTCCTTGTCAACCAAGCACATCTCATAGCAGGTTAGTTTTGGAATCAGTTGCAATTTTGCATTCAATCATGAACTTCAGCTTGGATGGTCCACTCTTGCACCACTTCATTGGAGATAACACTTCATAGTGAATGCAATGTGGTATGATTGGAGATAACAATTCATAGTGAATGTAATGTGATATCATTGTCCACTAGTGAACATGAGGGTGGACTGACAACTAGGCCTGCTTGATTAGAGGTGACAGCCTTGGGATGAGGAGTACTGCCATTGTCTACCCAACCTGCCATGAGACCATGTCTTTGTTGCTTACATTGTCTCTTCTGATATTTAAGGATGTTTGGTTTGATCTGCCACATGAGGATGTTCTACAGGTGCAGTAGATCAAGTCATACATATACTTTAGCTATTGACCACTCTCATTTGACAAAAACATGTTGCCGTATCAATTTATCTTTCACTTGTAATAGGGGAGAAGATACAAAGTCAATCAAAAGTATAGTTTGAGTGGTTAAGATCAACTCATGGAAACATTCTTGAATTAGTACAAAAAAGAGGCATTCTCAATGTACATATTCTCTGTATATCTGTTGGTGGGAAAAAATCATATATTTGAAACTTTTATAATTAACAATATGCATATTGCGGATGTTATTAAGGTTGTTGCCATTTAGTTGTAGAAAGGGTTGCAAAGCACAATACCACCAATAACACAGGCACATATTAGTGTAATGGGGTGATATGTGTTGGTCAAAGAAAGTGGCTGCCAAATTTTTCAATTCTTACTGCCAAATTTTTTATGCAAGCATGAGGTGCACGAGGCATATTTTATTGCAATGCACAGTACCAATTTTTGCTATAAATTGGTCTTCTTCCTGCAAGCAAAATCATCCCATCCCACACAAAATATTACTTCTCTTAGAGAAGAAAAGAGTGGCACCAGTGAGAGGCAGAAAAACTAGAGAGTTTTAGTTTAGCTTTTGGGTGTAATTGGGTTGTGAGTTGTGAGTGTTTTGGGAGTGTTTTGTAAACACTTGTGTATTTTATTTTCTCCTAAAAAGAGATCTGTAGTAGTCCGGAGACGTAGGCATTATTGGCCGAACTCCGTTATCAACTTGTGTGTGCAATTATTCCGCTTTTATTTCACTTTCACAGATCTGACCATATGAGAAGATTCAGCATATTTTTCCCAACAACTGGTATCAGAGCTGGTTGTTAGTTCTGTAATTTTTGTGGTGTTACTATTCATATGAATAGTAAGTTACTATTCCGTGAATAGTGAAAACGTGAATAGTGCAAATTTTGTCGGCGTTACAAATTTGCCCGCAGATCGTGTTCGAAACACGGTAGCTCACGTAAATTGTCGAAACGATCCAACGAGATAAGTCGGATCGAGTTGGAGTGATGGTCTGCAGACGAAGGAAAAATGAAAATCGAAAGGTTCGACGGTACGAGACTTTGGCTTCGGAAGATGCGGATAGAGGATTATCTCGTATCGGAAGAAGATGCATCAACCACTCACGGGGAGAAGCCGGAAACCATGAAAGAGGAAGAATGGAGTCTCCTTGATAGACGAGTTCTTGGAGTTATTCGTCTAACATTATCCCATAATGTTGCTTTTAACATTGTGAAAGAAAAGACAACCTTAGATCTCATGAAGGCTCTTTCCAACATGTACGAGAAACCATCGGCCTCAAACAAAGTTCACTTGATGAGGCGATTGTTCAACTCGCGGATGTCCGAAGGTGCTTCGGTGGCAAATCATCTCAATGAACTCAACACCGTAACAACCCAATTGAGTTCTATTGACATCAAATTCGATGATGAAGTACAAGCTTTAATACTTTTGTCTTCCCTACCGGAGAGTTGGAATGCTACGGTCACAGCTGTGAGTAGCTCATCGGGAAACAATAAGTTAAGATTTAATGATGTTCAAAATTTGGTTCTCAGCGAAGAGATCCGGCAGAGAGAGTCGGGTGAAGTATCAACCTCTTCAGTATTGCATACAGAGTCAAGAGGAAGAAGTTCAACCAAAGAAATTAGACATGGAAAATCAAAGGACAGGCGGTCCAAGTCTAGAAATCATCGTAGTTCCCACAACTCAAAGTCGATCGAGTGTTGGAATTGTGGGAAGACCGGACACTTCGAAACCGAGTGCAAGAGTGCACGGAAGAATCAAGGAGCAAAGGACGAAGCAAACGTTGCCTCCACCTCGGGAAAAGATGAGGCATTGATATGCTCCCTTGAAGGCGGGGAGGAGTCTTGGGTGTTAGACTCCGGAGCATCTTTTCATGCTACCTCACGAAGGAAGCTGTTGGAGAATTATGTTCCCGGAAACCTTGGTAAGGTTTACCTTGGTAATGAACGAGTCATGTGAGATTGTAGGCAAAGGTGCAGTAAGGATTAAGCTCGAATGGGTCCGTATGGGAATTGAAAAATGTCGGACATATTCCCGACCCGACAAAGAGCTTAATCTCGAGTAGGTCGGTTAGCTAGTGAAGGCTATACGACAATCTTCCACGGTGATGAATGGAAGATCTCAAAAGGTGCGATGACGATTGCTCGAGGCAAAAAGAGTGGAACTCTCTACAAGACTCGCAGGAGCATGTCATTTGATTGCAGTTGCAACAAATGAAAATTCCAACATATGGCACCAAAGACTTGGACATATGAGTGAGAAAGGAATGAAGGTCATGCACTCGAGAGGAAAATTACCAGGTCTTCGATCGAGTAGATATTGACATGTGTGAAGATCGCATACTTGGAAAGCGAGAAGAGAGTCGGCTTTCGGACAAGTAAAAGAATCCCAAAGAAAGAGAAGCTTGAGCTCATCCACTCGATAGTTTGGGGTCCAACGAATGTTCCATCCGTTGGTGGGAAGCATTACTTCGTGACTTTCATTGATGATCACTCCGTAAAGGTATGGGTTTACTTTCCGAAATATAAGTCGAAGTATTTGAAGCTTTCAAGATTTGGAAAGCTATGGTGGAAAATGAGACAGGATTGAAGATTAAGAAGCTCGAGATCCGACAATGGTGGTGAATATGTAGACACCGGATTCAAGAAGTTTTGCTATGAGCACGGAATCAAAATGGAGAGAACCGTGTCGGGTACGCCTCAACACAATGGTGTAGGCGAGCGTATGAATCGAACGTTGACCGAAAGGGCCGAAGCATGCGTGTGCGATCGAGCTTACCAAAGCGGTTTTGGGCGAAGCAATCAACACGAGCAACTTACTTGATCAACCGAAGTCCATCGGTACCATTGGAGCACAAGATACCAGAAGAGGTATGGAGCGGAAAAGAGGTAAAACTCTCACATCTTAGAATTTTTGGTTGTGTAGCATATGTGCATATCAGTGATCAAGACAGAAACAAACTTGATCCAAAATCAAAGAAATGTACTTTCCTTGGTTATGGTGAATATGAGTTTGGCTACCGCATATGGGACGATGAAAACAAAAAGATGATCCGCAGCAGAGACGTAATCTTCAATGAAAGAGTGATGTACAAGGACGAGGCATAATACGAGTGCCGACAACTCGAAGCGAGTGGGCCGGTTTATGCGAGAGGTGGAAGATATCCCGGAAAGTCCTATAATGAGGAGTCCTCGACCGGAGGAATCGGTTGAAGAACTTGATGTGCAAGCTGAACCTCCTACTCCAACTCTCGTATTAAGAAGGTCTTCTCGGCCTCATGTGCCTAACGGGAGATACATGGACTACATGTTGTTGATCGATGGAGGGAGCCCGAAGATTATACGGAAGCTTGTCAAGCCACGGATGCTAGCAAGTGGGAACTTGCCATGAAAGACGAGATGAAGTCTTTAATCTCAAATCGGACATGGGAACTAGTCAAGTTACCTATGGGAAAGAAAGCACTTCACAACAAATGGGTGTATCGAGTGAAGGAAGACCATGATGGTTCTAAGAGATACAAAGCTCGATCGGTCGTCAAAGGATTTCGACAGAAAGAAGGAGTCGACTACACCGAAATCTTTGCTCCAGTTGTAAAGCTCAATACTATCGGATCTGTGTTAAGTATTGTGGCTAGTGAGGAGCTCTACCTAGAGCAATTAGATGTGAAGTGTAATATCCTAAATTTTGTAATCAATTATATAAATAAATTTTGTAAGTTATAAATATGTACCGAATATTATGTAGAGTTATTATAAAAATAAAACATGATTTTTATAGTAATTTTGTCTTAAGAAAATTATAAAATAAAATCCAAGGTTAATATTGTGTCAAATAATAATTTAATAATAATTCTTAATAATAAAAATTAAATAAATGAGTAAATAAATATTTAGAAAAAAAAAAAAGTAAGGCTCGGTAGTGGCCTAAATACATTTGAATTAAGTCGGTGAAGAATCGGAATTAAATTAAGGCGGTGAAGAATAAAGACAACGAAGAAAATCCTAGAAAGAATTAAGTCGGTGAGTAAGTTTATAAATAGGAGGAAACTGGAAACATACACCAACACAATTCACGACCAACTTGAAGAATAAACCGAGAGACACCAGAATTCTTGGAAGAAGAATTCGAGAGAAAGGAGGAAAGGAGGAGCATACAAAATTAGGAGAGTAATAAGATATTGAGGAATCGGGTATGGGTTAGACGTTTAGTTTTATTCATACGAATGTCCGAAATTGGATATTACTATTCATCAATTGCAAAGATTGAAATATTGTTGAAATTCTTTCAATTAAGGATGAATTATATAATAAAATTGTTGTTTTTAACTTAAATTGAACATATTTATGGTTTAATTTTGATTTGGAACAAATTTGAGTGATTGAAACCGAGAAATTTGAAACTTGAATTTCGAAAATGGCGAACCGATGAAAATCTAGCAAAACTCGCTCAAGCGAAAAATATGTCGCTTGAGCGAGGATACTTGGAAAATTTGGGATTCTCGGGTTCTTTATCGCTCAAGCGATAATTACATCGCTTGAGCGACTAACGGTCATGTCTCGCTCAAGCGACAAGTGTACTCGCTCGAGCGACGAAAGCTTCAAACAAAGGGGACTAAGGGTCATGTCTCGCTCAAGCTGAAAAGTGTACTCGCTTGAGCGACAAAAGCTTCAAACAAAGGGGACTCTCGGGTCATTACTCGCTCAAGCGGCCGATGTACTCGCTTGAGCGACGAAGCCTTCAAACAAAAGGGGACTCTCGGGTTCCATCTCGCTCAAGCGACCGGTGTACTCGCTTGAGCGAGCGAAGGAAGAAGAAAGGACTAGGTGGGAATTTTTGCAAAAGATCAAGGGTAAAATAGTCATTTCACATATT